GGGTGCTTGTTAATACAAATTATCCAGTTGTTACAAATATACAATTAAAAGAGAAGACCGCACACTCTGTAGTAATGGACTTTATTGTAGATGTTTTGATAAGAGTGGGCTCTCCCTCACTCTCTGAGCCTGCTTCTGCCGCATCTTCAATGGAAGTAATGTATGTGCTGTACATGTGGAAGAATTGACAATAAAGCAGACTTGAACTTGAAATAGGGAAGAGTGGGGTAAGTTGAGCCAGTGGGTAAGTTGATCCACCCCCTGTATCTTGGCAACTGTACACTTTTACTCTCATGTGACCATGTATTTTGGAACCACCCATCATTTCTGCCAGACTGTGAATAGGAGAAACACATGGGGGGAATGGAAGGCACCCATTTACTTTGACAAGCCAAAAACCGTTTTTAAAGTACAATTTTAGCATAAGAGATGCAATGGTTGCTACATCAAAGCAAATTTATCCAGGTCTAAAAATATTTATGATACATATAGGTGATTTAGCAACATAAAACACCATGCAAATCACTTAGCTAAATATTAGCCTGAACTGGTAAGAAACAGTAGCTATTTTTTTCCAAAATGGCAGCTGTGGGGTAAATTGACAGAAAAGAAGATGAAAAATCATTAAAATCTCATAGACAGAAAATAAGATGAAAATGAAGATTAACACATGAGAGGATTCACACTGTTATCAACCTGTTCCTGATAATCCAGAGAGATTTGACTGGTGTCTCTGTGTTCTGGGTTCAGAGGGGTTTAACTCAGGAACACACTGCTGGGATGTGGAGGTTAAACAGAGTAAATACTGGAGTCTTGGAGTAACTACAGCATCAAACCAGAGGAAGGGACGGGGTTTCTTTAACACTGGTGTCTGGTTTGTGGAGTACGGACTGTATTCAGGTTCTGGTTTTCGTGTTACACAGAAGCTTGATCGTGTGAGAGTGAATCTGGACTATGACGGAGGAACAGTGTCATTCTCTGATCCTGTAACTAACACACATCTACACACATTCACAACCTCCTTCACTCACACACTCTTCCCTTTCTTCAGTAATTATCATTCTTCCTCTCTGAGGATCTTATCGATCAATAGTCAGTAATCTGTAGCTCTGGATCTTCCTGCTTTCATCTTTCATCATGTTTCAATATTTAATCACATGAGTAAGAGATAAGTTATACAGTTTTACTATAATTACAGTTAGATAACGTGAGAAACAGCTTAATAGCGACCGTAACCAGATGCTAGTCGTCATATTAGTAAGTTTTTAGTCTTTCTGCAATCTTTCTCTCCCTGATGGAGGTTGAGTGAGTTTTAATGAAGACTCTTCAGATAATAAAGAGTTTCGCTGAATGCAGTTGGTTGTCTTGTGTTTTTTTCGGGTTAAATGACTTTTGTAATATCCACTTATACTGTATGCTTATGTGAAATATTTTCGTAAGAGCAGTATTAAAATAGATGAATGAATATGCAGAAGTTGAACGAATTTTAACAATGTTAAACATTTAGACTAATTAATCTTAAACAGTAAGATTAAGTAAAGTAAGAGTAAAGTAAAGTAAAGTAAGAAACAGTAAAAAACATTTTACTGAATGAAATTCTCATATTTATGCCAAAATTCTTAATTAATATTCAAAGTCATGCTGTCAACGCGTGTAAAATGACTGTCAGTGATAAATGACAGGATAATGGCTTAAATTGAATAATTCTGATCTTATTCATCAGGTCTCACACACACTGCAGCATCACACATGTTTACGAGCCATGGCTTTCTCAGATCGGCTTACGTTAGATTAAAATTACAAGTTCTGTTGAGTTTGGAAAATGTTTTGAGGGACAATGGCCCAAACCAAAAAAAGGGGCACAAGGAGGGTGGGTGCTTGTTAATACAAATTATCCAGTTGTTACAAATATACAATTAAAAGAGAAGACCGCACACTCTGTAGTAATGGACTTTATTGTAGATGTTTTGATAAGAGTGGGCTCTCCCTCACTCTCTGAGCCTGCTTCTGCCGCATCTTCAATGGAAGTAATGTATGTGCTGTACATGTGGAAGAATTGACAATAAAGCAGACTTGAACTTGAAATAGGGAAGAGTGGGGTAAGTTGAGCCAGTGGGTAAGTTGATCCACCCCCTGTATCTTGGCAACTGTACACTTTTACTCTCATGTGACCATGTATTTTGGAACCACCCATCATTTCTGCCAGACTGTGAATAGGAGAAACACATGGGGGGAATGGAAGGCACCCATTTACTTTGACAAGCCAAAAACCGTTTTTAAAGTACAATTTTAGCATAAGAGATGCAATGGTTGCTACATCAAAGCAAATTTATCCAGGTCTAAAAATATTTATGATACATATAGGTGATTTAGCAACATAAAACCATGCAAATCATTTAGCTAAATATTAGCCTGAACAGGTAAGCTACAGTAGCTATTTTTTTCCAAAATGGCAGCTATGGGGCAAAGTGAGTCAAATGTTGTGGGGTAAATTCTGTCAGCATTTTAACTTACCCCACCATAAAGCACTGTAGTTAAGTTAAATCTCTGAATTTAACTTATCCATTGTTCTTATTTCTTCATTGTTCTTAACTTATTCATCCATTGTTATTAAGGACGTAGCACTATCTGATCACTTCTGTATTTTCTTTGATATATTGATCTCTGTTACCACTGAATCTAGATCTGTCTCTGTCAGAAAGAGATCCATTAACGAAAACACTAGTGTGCTAATCATGCTGTCTAATCGGATTATCTCGGCAAAAGAGAAGTGCTCACTAACACAGATTTAGACAGATTTGCGAACAATATTTGAGAGAAATAGGCCTTTTGTGTACATAGAAAAAGTCTTAGATCTTTGAGTTCAGCTCATGAAAAATGGGGCAAAAACAAGTGTTGCGTTTATAATTTTGTTCAGTGTATTTTGACTTTACTCTCGAAACATGTTGACTTTACTCTCGACACATTTTCACTTTATTCTCAACACATTTCGACTTTGTTAACTTTATTTACTCTCGAAACATGTTGACTACTCTCAACACATTTAGACTTTATTCTCAAAACATATCGACTTTATTCTCAAAACATTTCGACTTTATTCTCGACACATTTGAACTTTAATTTCAACACATTTTGACTTTATTCTCAACACATTTCTACTTTATTCTCAACACATTTTGACTTCATTCTCGATACATTTCGATTTTATTCTCAAAACACATTTCGACTTTATTCTCGAAACATGTTAACTTTATTCTCATTTCGACTTTATAACACATTTCCACTTTATTCTGGAAAACATTAGACTTTAATTTTTAAACATTCCGACTTTATTTATGACACATTTCGACTTTATTCTTAAAACATGTTGACTTTACTATCGAAATATTTTGACTTTACTCTCGAAACACATTTCGACTTTATTCTCAAAACACAGTTCGACTTTATTCTCGACACATTTCCACTTTATTCTCAAAACACATTTCCACTTTATTCTCGACACATTTCGACTTTATTCTCGACACATTTTGACTTCATTCTCGACACATTTTGACTTTATTCTCGACACATTTCGACTTTATTCTCGACACATTTAGACTTTATTCTCGACACATTTAGACAAGCACATTTAAAACAATCACAAGACTGACCAAAGTGCTGCACAACATAATGATAAAAGATAAAATACATTCACACACCATCAATTTGCAAAGGCTACTGAAAACAAGTGAGTTTTCGAAAGAGATTTAAAAACCGATAAAGATGGAGCAGCTCTAAGGGGTGCTGGCAGGCTGTTCCACAATCTAGGGCCCATCACCAAGAAAGCTCTATCTCCTCTGCGTTTCAGCCTTGTGGAGGGAACCATAAGTTGGTTTTGATTACCAGATCTTAAATCTTTGGTAGGATTGTAAGGATGCAGCAATTCTGATAGGTAACACGGGGCGAGATTGTGTAAACATTTATAAACAAATAAAATAATTTTGAAATTTATCCTAAAATTAACAGGAAGCCAATGAAGAGCTCACAAAAAAGGGGTGGCAGGATCATATTTCCTGCCTTTTTAAAGAAATTTGGCTGCTGCGTTTTGGACCAATTGTAAACGAGCTACTTGGGACTTTGAGATGCCCCAATACAAAGAGTTGCAATAGTCCAATCGAGAGGTAATAAATGCATAAACAGCTGTCTCAAGAGGTTTGTAATGAAATCAACATTTTCCTGTTAATCAGATGTCCCTCACACTAATTCAGTATTTGCAAATATAAAAGTTACATAAAATCTCACACTTTTGCTATACTAAAGCCTGAAATGGGCACTTTTTGTGACCGCAACCTCATCATTTTTGATCAAAGAAGTGGCTTAACTTCAGAATTTGAGCTAAAATCAGTATGCTTATGATTGCTCTGGACATTTCAGACTGAGTTCAACAAACATTAAATTGTTTTTTCATAAACTTAAAAAAAATAATTAATAAAGATGTAGGTGTGACGGGGTTGAGACTAGGGTAACGGGGTTAAAGATGGTAATATGTGATAGTTTACTGACTGAAAAACCATCCGATTGATAGCTGCTCGCCGTTTTGGCAGCCATCAACCAGATTCCTTTTTTCAAGACCTTTTACCCATCTACAGTGCATCCGGAAAGTATTCACAGCACTTCACTTATTCCACATTTTGTTATGTTACAGCCTTATTCCAAAATGGATTAAATTCATTATTTTCCTCAAAATTCTACAAACAATGCCCCATAATGACAATGTAAAAGAAGTTTATTTGAAGTCTTTGGAAATTGATAATATATATGTATATATATATATATATATAAATAAATATATATCACATGTACATAAGTATTCACAGACTTTGCTCAATACTTTGTTGGAGCACCTTTGGCAACAATTGCAGCCTCAAGTCTTTTTAAGTATGATGTTGAGCTTTCCTTCTACTCTGAGGAGTCCGTCAGTCCCTGCCGCTGAACACACAGCCCCACAGCATGAGGCTGCTACCAGCACACTTTACGGTTGGGATGCTACTCTGCAGGCGATGAGCAGTGCCTGGTTTCCTCCAAACATGATGCTTGGAATTGAGGTTCATCAGACCAGATAATCTTGTTTCTCACAATCTTAGGGTTCTTTAGGTGGTTTTTTGCAAATTCCAAGTGTGTTTTCATGTGTCTTCACTGAAGAAAGGATTGAGTCCTGCCACACCGCCATAAAGCCCAGATCAGATGAGTGTTGCAGTGATGTTTGTCCTTCTGTAGGGTTCTCCTGTCTCCACATAGAGTTCAACTAGAGTGACCATCAGGTTCTTGGTCACCAGTCTAACCAAAGCCCTTCCCCATCGATTGCTCAGTTTGACCAGAAGGCCATCAGCTCTAGGAAGAGTCCTGGGCTGCATTTCCCAAAAGCATCATAAACTTAGGTACATCGTAGACCCATTGAAACCAATGGAGCTACAATCAACTTAAGCTTACAATGCTTTTGGGAAACGCAGCCCTGGTTGTTTCAAACTTCTTCCACTAAGAGTAACGTAGACTACATGCTTCTGCAAACCTTTAATGCAGCAGAAATTTTTCTGTATCCTTCCCGAGATCTGTGCCTTGATACAATCTTGTCTCGGAGATCTACAGGCAATTCCTTGGACTTTATGGCTTGGTTTTCGTAAGCTTAAGTACATCGTAGACCCATTGAAACCAATGGAGCTACAATCAACTTAAGCTTACAATGCTTTTGGGAAACGCAGCCCTGGTTGTTTCAAACTTCTTCCACTAAGAGTAACGTAGACTACATGCTTCTGCAAACCTTTAATGCAGCAGAAATTTTTCTGTATCCTTCCCGAGATCTGTGCCTTGATACAATCTTGTCTGTGTCATGGCAATACTTATATACATGTGATTTTTTTTCCCGTTTTTTTTTTTTTTAATAACTTTGCAAAGATTTCAAACAAAATTCTTTCACCTTGTCATTATGGGGTATCTTTGTAGAATTTTGAGGAAAATAATGAATTTAATCCATTTTGGAATAAGGCTGTAACATAACAAAATGTGGAATAAGTGAAGTGCTGTGAATACTTTCCGGATGCACTAAGGGGAAAGAACACAGGGAAAAGGATGAAAGATATCAGGGCTCTGTAGATGGGAAAAAGTTATTGAAAAAAGGAATCTGGTTGATGGCTGCCAAAACGGCGAGCAGCCATCAATCGGATGGTTTTTCAGTCAGTAAACTATCACATACAACCTAAACAACTAAAAGAGCTTTTATTAACTACACTTTTAATTTTCTAACACTTGCTAACACTCAGCCTAGTCATTTTCTTACACTCTTAACTGCTCATTGCTCTACCTTGAAGATC